ACCCCAGAACAAAAAAAAAAAAAAAAAAAAAATCACGAGGTGGGTACACCATGGGTCAAAACTATGATCAACCAATAAGATTACAGGTATAGCCAATTAGGTAATATCGATTCAACAGAGAAGCAGATCATGTAGCAAGTGTACATGGAAAAAACAAAGACCTTTTTAGGAATGGATGGATCAGGTGGTCCTTGTCATCCACCTATGCGATTGACATCTAGCTAGACTTTATTGGGCCAGGTGATACCAATTATGGTTATTGCTTATCCCCTGGGGAGGTATGTAGCCCTGGTCATTCCCATTTTATCTTGAGGCCTGGCCTTCAACAGATACCTCCAGTCACAGATGTAATGTGTTTTCATCTTCTGCACTGACTCCCTCAAGGGCCCAGCCTTGAATGACTGCCGAGAATATTTCTATCTAATTTAGCTATCTATAATACTATCAGACATTCCAAAAAATGTTGATTCAGTCTACCTCCCTGTATATTATTAATGTGCTTCTCTTAGGATCTAAAAATGTCATGGTCCAAACTGGGCATAGTGATGGCATGCTTGTAATATCAGCACTCTGGGAGGCTGAGGCCCAGAGGATCCCAAATTTAAGCCTAGTCCAGGTAATTTAGTAACTTAGTGAGACCCTGTCTTAAAATTAAAAAGTAAAAAAAGGACTGGGGATATTCTTCAGCCAGCCTGGGTTACACAGTGAGTTTCAGCCTACCCTGAGCTAAACAGCAAGATCCTATCTCAGCAAAACAAAGGAAGAATCAAAATATCTAAACCTAAATCTAAATCTAATCTCTAGGTTTCAATTAACCAAAACAAACAAACAAAAACAAACACCTTCACAGAAGACTGTTCTGAGGATTGAGTTAGAAAAGTATTTCCTCCTCTCCCTGAAATTATTCAACAACATAAATAGTCAGTTATCTATATTTCTTTAATTATAGAAGTTATTCATAATGTAGACCTTTATAGCAATAATCATTAGCTGAAACAATATTTTATAACGGCAAACATACTACTAGTCTCATATACCTGATAACAAAAGTTTTAATTTGGCAACACGATGAA